GGAGCATTAAAAATGTTAATGCCTTTCTCTGCCCTTTATGTGATTACATATTGATTCTGTGATTGATTATTGTAAGAAGCATTCAGGGATAATTGGAAAGACAAGGTAAAGTAAGTATGTGAACATTAAGTAATTTTGCAACAGTGAAATGAGAAGTTTCAAAAGGTGTCACAAAGGAATGTGTAATTATTTACCAAAAGAATATTGGGCAATAAATGTCATAAGTTCAGAGTAGATTAAGATGGTTTTTAGGTAAATTTGAGGCTTAATGAAGTAGTGGGTACTTGCCCTGGATCTTGAAGAATTATATGATTTGGACTTAAAGTAGGGATGGGCTTCCTAGTTAGGGAGACTGTATTAAGGGACTATATAAAGATGGGGAAAGACTCAGTAGATTTCGGGGAATCTGATTAGATCAGCTTGGTTGGAGAGGATGGTCTGTCCAGGAGAGTGATAAGAGACATAGCTAGAAAGGCAAATGGAGCTAGATTGTGAAGTTAAATTTTTAATGTGCTTATAATTCAGAAACAAATTATAGTACTTACCAAGATTGATTGAATATTTCTATCTCGTAGTATAGCCTTGTGGTTAAGAAACAGACTCTGGAGCCAGATTGCTTAGGTTCTAATCCTTGCTCCACTAGTTACTTTAAACTCTCTGTAAATTAATTTCCTCATTCAGAAAATAATAGTACCTACCTTACTGGGTTGTTGTGAGGACTAAATGAGTTAAGTCCTCATGTTTGCAGTGCTTAACGTACAGTAAGTGATACATTAATAATGACTAAATTTTATTTTTTACAGTGATTAAGCATTTTTCTAGTAATAGTATAGTATACTTGACATATTTCTACAAATTATTGTCTGTTTTTTGTGTGTTGCAGTGTTTGGGAAATGGGAAGTAATGACAGCTGGCACTTGAACTAAGTACTTTTATAGACAACACCATTCCAGAACTTCAGGATGAATGGGGATATGCCCCATGTCCCCATCACTACTCTTGCGGGGATTGCTAGTCTCACAGACCGTAAGTTCGGTTAATTTATCCAATTTAAGTTCTACTGTGTGTTAACAGTGATTTTTAGAGAGGTTATTACAAAAATTTTCTGTAATGTCATAAATAAAATTTTTAAGATTTTGGTTTTGAATGACAAACGTTGTTTCCTTTGATTTATTGGCATGCATTGTGCAAGTAATAAAATTAGTGTTGCCAACTAATTATAGGTAAGACCTTAATTTCTGTTTCCTCCTAAGGATCCAATAAGAAATGGTAGGGTGTATTTGATAAGAGGTTTTACACGATAAAGGGATAAACACAAAATAAAGACCAAAGAAGATGACACAAAGCATTAAGAAAAATCAAATCTGAAGAAGCATGTGTTTTTACATATAGGAACTAATATAGGCTTTTTAAAAAGCATTAATAGAAACAGTAACGAAAACTGCCCTTCAGAGAATAAAATTTGACAGCACAATTTATCTAACTTCTTAGTGATATTTATTTTGGATGTCATGTTCAGTAATCTTTTGGAGTTTGTCATAGATATCAGCAGGCTGTTTTACTTTGAACACTTAAAGAATTTAAGGAACTTTGCTAGTCTTTTGAGATTTTTTTAAATGTAACACATTTTTTTAGGGATTCATTCTTTGGTAGGCACTTGTAACTATAATTTTTAGTCCTTGGATAATGGTGCAAAAAGCTACCCACAATGTTAGTTCCTGCGTACCTGAATAAATAAAGGGAAAGAGGTATGAAAGGGAAGGGTAGGTGAAGAAATGGTATACTTTTCTTTGTATAGCATTGTGCAAGATTTGGAACTCCATAATAAAGGAGCTAAGAGAAAATATCTTCAAGAAATGTTTTTATCCGTGTTCCCTGTCCCCCAAATACTACTTTTCTGGGTTTTGTTTTTGTTCTTTTAAATTTCCACTTGGATTCAGTGGGGTAAAATAGTAACAGCCTACAGTTTAACTAGAAAGTGCTGTAGCTGATTGAGAACTGAGGTAAGAGAACTTTTTGGACTGGCTTTAGTGTTTGTTATCACTTTGTTGTAGATAAGGCATAAACTCTAATATATGGGATTATAAAATAAGATACATTACCAGGAATTTATTTTTGATTTTTCTAACCCCATCATTTTAGCTGTACCTTAT